CTTTTTACTATACTGGCCAGAACGCTTGTCGTCAGGAGGCTATTCAACAGGTTAGTAAATAAAGAGATAGTAATGATAAATAAATTGTCTTATCAATTAAAGAACTTTCCTGGAAAGGAGGGCGTAAAGGATTTTATATTTACAAAATATATATATATCGAATGATTAAACGATAGTTACCATAGTTATTATGTATAAATATTTACATCATGCTGTATAAAAGCAACACATTTCACAATTCATCATCAAGTCAGTTAAATTTCATCACCAAGAGTACAAGTCGTCATTCATTCAATTTTTGAAGTGAAGTTCTATATTGCAACGAAACTTGACTACAAAATGGTCAAAGTAATACAGTCCGTGGTTCTTTGCATCTTACTTGGTTTTGTGTATGGTGCGCCAGCAGACGCTACGAGTACTTTTCAACACAAGGTGAGGTCGAGGGTGACACTACATTAAGTATTATCATGTATATATCGCTCTTAACTTCCTTCTGAGCATTGTGATTTTTTTCGGTATAGATTTATTATAAAATGTTTGAGTGATTTGTATTATTTGTAAAATGCGCTATTTAACTGTTCCCTGATACATCGGGTATACATTTTCAACATATTTTTTCTCCTCTTTATATTATAATTATAAATAAATAATGATTTGCTATACGTATATTTGTCTTCAACAATATTTTACTTAAATTAAGTTAGGTAGGTTTAATGAACAAAAATGACCAATGGATGCAATTCATAACAAACACTTGTTTGGAAGTTCAAGTTTGCTTGTTTAAACACTTTCGACGAATTTGACGACCTCAAAAATGGACACATATTCATTGCTTTGTAGCTTTGAACTATTAATGGAAACTCATTTCTTTTTATTATTATTATTATGAAGTTTGAGGAAACTTTCGATGTCGAAGGGCAAACTTTGACCGACAAATTGGAACTAACAGATGACGGCATTATAATAAATGTAGAGGATCAAGATGGGTCCATTGCTTTGACAGTGTCCACTGACTACACTCATGTAAGTATTACGGGAAATTCTACATGCCAAGTCTTCTAATCCCCATGGAGGGCAAGCCCTTATTTAAACTTGACGTTCCTTGCTTTTTAAATTTGTTAGATTCAATAATATTATCGACATTGACCTGTATACAAACAATATATTTGTTCTTAATTTTTTTACAGGGACTGCTTATTCATCGATACCATCCCGATGACAATTGCTATATATCCAGCATAGCACAGTATGATGACACAAAATCGGTAAGCAAATAACGTTATATAATTATCTGTGCCCAGCGTATAAATTACTTGTGCAATATTTTCGTTTAAACAGCGCGACCTTCAACTGATAAGCGATTTAATGTAATTCGCAACGAGTTTACTGTACTCTTAAACCGGTCATATTTATCTCTGTATATATATAACACAGACGGCTTTCCTGTGGCCGAACATTTCAACTCTCCTGACCACAACACCAACGACATTCGCTGAACACTCATTGCTTGCAATTTCAAATCACTCAAAGAACGACGTCAATCTGAACTGAAACTCATAATCAAATATAAAACACACATTTTTGGTCTTAATAAAGACCTGGGTATCATTAGTGACTACACATTCCCCGATGCTGATTCTGTTAATTAATTATACATGTATATGTATTTATATATGTATGTATGTATATATACACATATATTTGATAAGCTCTATATATATTTAGGTGTGTCATTTGTAATTTGTATTAGAATTTAGAACTTTTCTCTTTTCCCTATAGTTTATTATGTTATTTGTATAATTTTGTATTTTGTTGTGGATGCACCACTGAATGATGTGTGCCACCGATATAAAGGTGATTCCATTGAATAAATAAATATAATAAATAAATACAGTCATACCTCAGCATACTTCTTGATTGATTTATTTGTTCCCTACAGAATTTGGAAGACAATTATTTTCTTATTGTGAATATGTTCCTTAGAATTTTATTCTATAAAAAAACCCTCGGTCATATATTTCACATTTTGAAATGCACTTATGCCTCCTGCTATCAGAGTAAATAGGAATTATTGGGGCCTTTTTACAACTTCGGTTGTTTTCAAATTGCCATTACGGTTTTTGGCCAATCGAAAAAGTTGTTGTTCTCCTCAGATATTAAAGAAAGCTAAGCATTCACAGATTCTTTTCATATAAAACTCGTCCCAAATGTTTACAAAAAAAAGAAAAAAACGAAATGCTAATTTCTATATTGAGGGAGATTCAACATAGTGCGAGCCAGGTCCGATAATGCGGCATGGTTTTTTAATAGTTTATTGAAATGTAAATAATAATTAGGCCTATGTCTAATTTTTCAACGCATTTCCAATGCTATAAAATTTTACCCTCTAATGAAATGGATGAGTTCAACTGAATAATCCTCAAGGATAACAGCTAGACCGATTA